CAGACCCCACAACCCCAGACAATAAAGGAACTGCAAACCTTTTTGGGAATGATGGGATGATGTAGATTGTGGATCTACAACTATGGGTTGCTTATTAAGCCTCTGTATGAACTTATAGCAAAAGGGAATAAAGATCTCCAGTGTACCAAGGAGGCCACTTGAGCTTTCACCCAGCTAAAGGAAGCTCTTATGTCGGCCCCAGCCCTAGGACTTCCTGACGTGAGTAAAATATTCTTTCTGTTTTCCCATGAAAAACAGGGGATCACCCTGGGGATACTGGCACAGAACTTAGGCCCATACCGAAGGGAAATTGCCTACTTTTCCAAGCAGCTAGATGCAGCGGCCAAGGGATGGCCGGGATGCCTCAGAGCTGTAGCAGCAGTCGTGATAAATATCCAAGAAGCACAGAAATTCACCTTGGGCCAGAAAATGACTGTCCTGGTGTCTCACACAGTGTCTGCAGTGTTAGAAGTGAAAGGAGGACACTGGCTTTCCCCACAGAGGTTTCTGAAATACCAAGCCATCATAGTAGAACAAGATGATGTGGAAATAGTGGTAACTAATATTGTCAATCCAGCTTCTTTCCTCAGTGGAAACCAAGGGGAGCTGGTGCCTCATGATTGTCTGGAAACCATTGAAGCCACCTACTCCAGCCACCCAGATCTGAAGGACAACCCTTTTGATGACACAGAAACCTGGTTTACTGATGGAAGTAGCTATGTCATCATCGGGAAACGACATGCTGGATATGCAGTTACCACCAGCAAGAAGGTAATAGAATCTGGACCTCTACCCACAGATACCTCTGCACAGAAAAATGAGCTAATTTCCTTGACCCATGCCTTGGAAATGGCAAAAGGAAGAAAAATAAATATCTACACAGACTCAAGATATGCATTTGGGGTTGTGCATGCACATGGAGCTATTTGGAAGGAAAGGGGATTGTTAAATCCACAGGGAAAGAACATCAAACATGCACAAGAAATAATACGACTACTGGAAGCAGTCCAGATGCCCGAGAAGGTAGCAATTATGCACATTAAGGCACATCAAAAGGTGAGCTTGGAATTGGAGGAAGGAAATGAACTGGTGGACAGAGAGGCAAAAGAAGCAGCAAAAGGTGAGATAATAGTTGAAGCAACCTTGATTCCAGATGGACAGATAGTCCCTGAAGGTAAGCCATTATACAATAAGAAAGAGAAGGAATTAATTGAGGATCTAGGGGGAACATATAACCAGGAAGGATGGGCTGTAACTGCAGAAGGGAAACTGGTTATCCCTTCCCACATATTATGGTCCCTAGTAAGAGAGGAACACAAAAAGACACACTGGGGAGTGGATGCTCTGTACAACTATCTAGCTAAAAAGATTACTGCCAGAAATCTATATGCCACTGTCACTCAAGTGACCCGGCAGTGTGATCTTTGTCTCCAGACTAATACCAAAAATACTCCCAAACCAAAACTTGGTCAGATTGGAAGAGGTCAGGGACCTGGGCAGCAGTGGCAAATTGATTTTTCAGAACTCCCAAGAAAAGGGGGGTATAGATATTTGCTGGTATTGACAGACATCTTTTCAGGATGGCCAGAAGCTTTCCCCACCAGAACAGCGAAAGCCAGGGATGTAACTAAAACACTGTTGCAGGAAATAATACCACGCTTCGGGGTTCCAGTCACAATATCCTCAGATAGAGGACCTCATTTTATGTCTAAGATGGTACAGCAAGTTAGTCGCCACTTGGGTATAGATTGGGAATTCCACACTCCATACCATCCTCAGTCAAGTGGCCAAGTAGAGAAAATGAATCATCTAATTAAACAGCAAATTGTGAGGCTAGGGCAAGAAGTTAATTTGCCCTGGCCCCAATCTCTCCCATTAGCATTGTTGTGAATTCGTACTAAGCCAAGAACTAAAGAAAAGTTAAGCTCCTTTGAAATGCTTTATGGGAGACCGTATGGGGTATCAAAGGGAATGTCTGCCCAAATTGGAGAAGAGACAATGACCTCCTATTTGGTAGCTCTGAGTAAACAACTCAGAAAAATCAAAAAACATGTGGCTGGAACTCAGAGCAGGGGGTTAGATGGGCCAGTGCATAACATACAGCCTGGAGATTATGTTTATGTTAAGTCTCTTACAGAGAAAACCCTGGAACCACAGTGGGAAGGACCATTCCAGGTACTGCTCACCATGTTCACTGCAATTAAGATTAAAGAACAGAATGCTTGGATCCATCATACGCGAATGAAGAAGGCTCCTGGAGCCTCTTGGAAAGTAACATTGGGTGATAATGAACTGAAATTGAAATTTACCTGGGAAAGATGAATAGACTCTGGGTAGAAATGTTAGCCTGGACAATTATATCTCTCATGACCATAGCCATGACTGTAACTGAAGCTAATGAAAAACCACACTTGTACCATATGACTGAGAGGCATGTTTGTTGAGGAAAAGCCTATGACATGCATTCCCATAAAATGTTGTCTGAAATGATGAAAGTTACAAATGCTAAGGTCTGGGAAGGGAGAAATGTTTGGGGCTGTGAATATGCATTTGTTCAGATTGGATATCATGGGTCTTGCCAGAAACCTATGGAGTTATTCAGAATTTATTCTGAATGTTGTGAAACATGCTTATCTAATTGTCCTGCATTTAGACTTGAAATACAGGGGTGTGCAGTTAAAGGTTATAGGGTGGATTATAAGATTACTCAGGATTGTGTTGATCCCCAAGACGAAGGTGAGGAAATAAATCCACCAACCCAAAGACCGGAGGAACCTACAGTTACTCTAGCTCAAACTACCCCAGGGAAGGTAATCCAGCCTATAGTTACTAAAGTTGGACCATATGCTGTCAAGAAGGTAGGGATCCAAAGACTGTTACTGAATCCAGAATGGTCCTTGAAACGAGTAGAGGTGGAGATGCAAGTGAATGCTTCTGCTATTCGATCAGAATGCACCCCCTTTCTTAAAACTTCCTTCGTGGACAGGACCACTTGGTTGAAGAAGCGCCCACCTGATACTTTTAGGCAGAAAAGAGACGTTACAGGGATACTAGGAACAGGATTGGGGATTTTGAATACAATAGACTCAGAGGTAATAATGAACAAATTGACTGCAACTGGCAGTGACGTAGTTAAATTACAACAACCATTACAATATTCTCTTTGAGCATTGGGTACCAGTCAGTGGAAACTGTCTAAAATATTACCAGAATGGGAAGGCCTAGAAGAACAAGATCATGGCTTAATAGTAAATGCCATGGGAGCAGCTAGTAAAAATATGTCCCTGGCCCTTGGATGTGTACAAGCACAATTCTGGATGCAGTCAGTCGCTGCCTCAATTATTAGGGAAGGTAGTGAGGGCACATTCCCTGCTGAGATTCGCAAAATTGTTTGGGATCATGCCTCTGATTTAGAGAGAGAACTCCAGTCATGGTGGGTTCTGGTTAATTTCACCTACGATCCTGTGACAAGCATGGTAACTGCCTTTGTTTTAACCATACATAATGTCAGTGAGTCTGATACATCCAGTAGTTGCCTTAGGACTAAACCACGAGGGAACCATTTTATATCCTTCTGAACATAGGATGTGGGCATGGGAAGTTGAAGGGAAATGGAAAACTATTACTATAGAGTCTTGTGCCATGAGGAAACAACTAGGGTTCATATGTGAAGGGAATCTAAATAGTGATCAAGATATTTGCCTGGATACAGAGCAGAGCATTTGTCACTTTGAAGTTCACTCGGTCAACCAAACAACTTTACTTGTGTACATAGGCCAGGGCTGTGTATGTGTCAGGACATCATGCCCCACAATAGTGGTGGATGAGCTAATCATAAACGAAACCCAATCCAATTTATGCATTTGTAATTTTGTCAGAATTGAGGGATGCAATTTTTCCTATTGAGCGCCCGTGATATCCCATCAATATATAAAAGCAAATTTGACTACTGTACAGGAAATATCACCTGTGCCTATAGGGATGAATCTAACCTTGGTTAAGCAGCTATTAAAACATGAGGAACTGAAGAAAATTCTCAAAGAAATTAGAGAGGTGGGAAGGAAGACTCTGATTACCATACATCATGACAGAAGCCATACAAAGAGTCTTTAAGAGATTGGAAGCAGACACATCTCACCATGGGTGGGATGCAATTTTTGGATGGTCACCAACAGGGAATGGGTTCCTTAATGCACTAGTTCATCCAACCATTGTGTTATTGATCTTGATTAGCACAAGTATGGTTTTGTCCATTGTGATGCTTATTTGGAACTGGAGAATGTTGCAATGAATAGCAATATTAACCTCATTGTTTGCAGTACATGGTAAAGAATTGAGAGATGCATACCATAGAAATGGAGAAATGGAGTTTGGTATCAAGTAAAAGAATTTACTATTTTATAGAAAAGGGGGGATTGAAACAAGGGATTTAAGGGTTAATAGGGAATTTAGAATAGTTTAGGCAATATATATATGTGAACATATGGTATTCATTATTATATTCGTACGGGACTGCGATAGGGGACCTCCAAAGGATACCTGTTACATATTAAAATTCTGCTGAGCTCACAGATAAAAGGGGCCCCTGATAAAAAACTGCTGAGCTTGCCAGAAAATACTAAGTAGAGAGAAACTGTGTATGTGAAGACAATGGAGTTCAAAAGTTCAACAGTGATGAAGACTTTGAGCCTTCATCTTTTCAGGCCCCCGGACTTACTTAAAGACCACCGACTCAATAAAAAGGATAAAGTGTGCAGCCTCAGCTAATTTCCATACCATGCGGAGAATAGGCGGGGATAGATACTGAATATGTATAGACGTTATAGAATATGCATGATCTTTGTGAATAAATAGAGGAATTCTGAATGTTGAGGCACGCAGGATTTGGGAAGATGCTCTCCCCCTGTGTCCAGGGCTGAATAAAATACGTACCTACTTTACAACCTTTGGTTGTGGAGTCATTTACCGTGTTTCAATAGAACCACGAGAAGAAATAAAATATATTGATTTAATCTACAAGATAGCATGAAGACATGTCAAGGGTTAAAACCAAGCAAAAGAATTCCGAGAACATCTAAACTCACAGGAATGTTTGAATATGTATAAACTCTCATGAATATGCATGTACCTCACGTAACCATATATAAGAACATTGTTTTAAGCTAACCGTGTGTTTTTGGAGTATTGCCAAACATCACAGCGCTGGATATTAAGCCCTTTTATCCCTTATTAAACTTGTATAAAAAATTTAAATAGTGAGCTCTGTTTCTCACACGGCTCAGTGCTGTAGGAAGATGGAGCGTTGGACAAGGGACCGGGGCGAGCGTTTGCGGTACCGGGATCCTGACGCCTTCACCTGCCTCTCTCCCGAGCTCAACCCTCTTCGTCGCCCGGCCCCTGCGCCAGGGAAAGACGTTTCTTTCTTCTTGTTTCCTTCAGCTTCCTCCTCAGCTCTTTTCCTTTGGTGAGTCGCTTCGAGTACTGTGCTTGCTTTACACACTCTACTTCGCCACTGGCGAACCACCACCCTCCGCTCCCCTTAGGGCTTGAGGGTAGGGGAGGGAGGGGACGGGGCCTCGGCCGCTCCGCGCCGTGGAGTGGTGCTGACGGGCTCGGCGGCCGCTCTGCGCGATGCTCAGTTGTTCCGGCGGTGGCGGAAAAAGGAAGTGACGCCACATGCACAGCCCTGCGGCCTCCGGTGACATTCTTTCTGGCTCTGGGGGCGCGGAGTGGCGTCCGCGCGGCTAAGACCCAGCTCCTTCCGGCCACCCATGCCCCAGCTGTTACCCCCCTGGTGGAGGCTAGGAGAGGCCTTGCGGTGTCCAGGTGAGTGGGGTCGGCTCGGCCAGGGCTCACCCACTGCCCGCTTCTGTAGGGCCGGGCCACCGTGCCTCAGCCGCGGGAGCGCCGGAGCCGTTGCCGTTAGCCCGGCTGCGCGTGGGCGAGAGACGGCGAGGCGCCATGGGAGAGGCGGATACTAGCCTCGCACTCCCCCAACCTTCCCCCGGGCCTGGCGGAGGCGGGAGGGCACACTTAAGGGGCCCGGTCCCATCAGGGTCGGGAAGGCCCGTGGCGGCCGAGGGCTTTTCAGGGAAACATGGGAGTCTGTTGGGAGCTTTCAGTACTGACTGCTTCGGTAATAGTGATCTCCATCACGCCCCGGCCCGGTACTGGGACTGTGGGATCCAGTCTAGCCGCCGCTTTTCAGCTCTAACCTTGCCTGGAGTCAGCGGATGAAAGCCTCACCACAGCTCCTGGAAGCAACTTTGGCCACTTAGTCTTTCCTGGGACATCTGTAAAGTGCTGTGAGATCTTGTTAGCTGTTTCGAAAAAACCCTTTGAAAAACAAGGGGTGTAAACTGCTTCAGTTTTATGCTTCTCTAGTTTTTTTTGCTTCTTTGTTTACCTTGTGGGAAGCTATATTTTATGTGAAAAAAAGTTCCAAATTGTTCGTTGCTTATCTAGCCTGAGTTCTCCTTGAGCTCCTAGTATCTAGGTTGCAGTTGTGGCTTTGAGCAACACAGTCATCTGTAAAGAATGTAAAATTTAACTGCTACCTTCTTCTTTTTAAGAGGAAAAAGGTAGTCTGAGGAGACTTGGAATAATGTAACTATTACACCAATTCCAATATTGAAATTTTCTTTGCCTTTATTTTTAATTGTATTTTTGTATTAGTTTGTTAATAGCAGAACAAGGCAACTTGTCTTAAAGTTTATAGGTACTTTTGTGAAACTACAACTGTAATAGTTTAGTTAAACAAGGTCTTGATTGTAACTACTTACACACTTTAAACCAGCACAAACTACCTAACTGTTTCAAAGGCTGGAAAAAAAATCTTGTGTATAGAGATTCTATGGCATAAGTCAGTCCTGTTTGGTATTGTGGTTTGGTTTTTTTTCACTGTCAGGTAATTCTAGCTTTTAAAAACGAATGAGTAGTAAATATTTGGACCTTTGAGCATCTCTTTAAAAATGTAAAATTTCTCTTAATTCCCACTCCCAAGAATTTTATTTCGCTTTAAGTCTCCTCTGGTACTTTTCAAGACCATAAGACCAAATAATAGTTTCACTTATAGGCAAGGGCTAGCCTATTTTCAGTTTTCAAGCTAACGTTTTAAGTCCAAACAGTAATAGCTCTCCCCTTAGAACAGCAAACAAACATTAAATTTAAAAGGTTTCTCTTAAAGTATCCTACGTTGCTTAAGTCTATTAAAAATGTAATGTTTGACCTTGAGATGGAAACTGAGTATGGTACTCTTTTGAGGTCTTCATCTTGTGGTTCTCCTGCCTTAGTTAACACCTGTAATGACCATTTCTATGATATAAGAGCTGAAAGTCAAGCAGTCACAACAGCACAGCTTCTCTGCTACTCTGGAAGAGGGTAACATTACTTTTGCAGAGCAGATAGGTTTGTAACAAGCTCTAAGGAGTCATTAAGTTACTTGTTATGTGTTTTCTAAGCCCAAATATCTTGCCCCCCCCCTTCATGTATGATACCAAAACAGTGAGATGAAATGTGGAGAACTCAGCTGTCTGACAGCAATCATTTCTAAGCATAATTTTATTAATATTTCTTACCTTTAGTGATCTAGCATAGTTTGATGCTGGCAAAAGAAGCTCCAAAGGGGATGATTATGTGGCTGCTAAAGGCTTATAAAATAGTGCTTTTTGTGGTTCATATATACCAGTAACGCTGGTATTCTGTGTAGGGACTTAGGAGGAGGGACTGTAGGGGTAATGGAAGATAGTACGTGAGTTTGGGCAGCTGGTATTTATGCCTAAGTATGAAGATAACACTTCTGACTCATTTTTAAGCACTTTATTTTTTAATTATAATGCGTTGACTATTTCTGTTTGCTCTTTAGCCTAATTGCTGGTTGACATGAAGAGGTGCAAAGAGATTCCTGAGCAATCAGAAAGATGAAAGTGACCATAGTCTCACGTATTCAAGTGTATGATGTGTATTGCAGTACAGCCTGGGCATTTATGCTTTCGCTCGATAAGTGAATGCAGTCTGCCTGCCTGATAGAAATTAAAGTGCACAAACAACCTGGGAAATGAGTGGATACATTAAACTGGGTACTGTGAAGGGAGGGGAAAAGGTAAGGAACCTGATGCCAACCACAAGGCAGTTGAGACAGGTTGATAGAGTGATCATAACACAGAAACTAAGCCCTGCTCTAACTGATAAAAGAGAAATAGGAAGGATGTTTGTGTACATTTCACAAATAAGCAGATCATACTGGCAGCTGACAGTGTGGAGAGGTGGGAATTAATCAGGTGAAATAAGATTGAATTACCAAGAGTAAATATGGAGAATCATGAGAGGCTTTGAACACTAAATGTTAGGGAGATAAGTGGATACTATTTGATCTTGTTATAACGAGACCAAGTTATATACTGAGATCTCATTGATATAACTTGGTCTTGTGAGTGAACTGGTGATTGGTGGCCATCTTGACCACAGTGACCATGAAGCAATCAAGTTTAAAATCTGTTGCCAGGAGGAAAAGTGCCAGCAAAACCTCAACCCTGAATGTGGGGAGAGCAGACTTCAGGCTGCTCAGGGAACTAGTGAGTAAGGTCCCCTGGGAAAACACTTTTGCAAGTGCTGGGGTCCATCAGTGCTGGTCACTTTTTAAACATTACCTCCTAAGGGCACAGGAGAAGGCAATTCCTAAATGTCAGAAGTCCAGCAGGTAAGGCAGAAAGCTAGCTTGGCTGAACAGGGACCTTCTTCTGGAGCTAAGACAAAAGAAAAAATACTTGTATTTGAAGACTTTCAGGCTAGCATTTTTGTTTCAATGTACGTGGATTGTGGATTTGATGTTACAGTGAGACTTTTGTAGCATCCTGCACAATGCTCTTCTGCTTTGATGCTTAAAAATTTCCTGGAAATGAGCAGAAAAAGCCAGACCTTGATTGGATAAGTGTTTTTTTCTGGCTATGTTTCTGCTCTAATATCTTGTTTCATGGTGCTTGGTCATTAGCATTTCAAGACCTATTTAAGAGAAGGCAGATTTCACTTCCATTCATCCAAAATGGGTAGAGGCCAAGAGACTCTCAGTAGCAGAGCTAGAAATAACTAAGTGCCAGACTTTATAATATGAGCTGTCTGCATGATGAAACAATTACCATTTCAATAATTTGTTTTTCATTGGAAATAATTGCATTTCCATTATACCAGTTTGAGGTTGGTGTTCTATGTACTGTACTGTATTACTGTATAATAGTACTGTCAAACTTTCTGAAGTAAAAAGAAGCAACTTGACATGATAGCCAGGTAAGGTTAAGAAAGTGCTGTTCTCTTGTATTGTGGCTTTCTTATCAGCTGGTAATTCCCCTGACTCTTCAGCACAATCTCCCGATTCTTGCTCTCTTGGAATGCCAGCTCTGGCCAGAGGCAGTTCTAAATAATCTGGCAAAAGAAAAATTTTAAGGGAAAAATGTTGGTAAAGAGTAGATTAGGAAGCTGTTTATGAATTCCATGTACTTGTGTCTGGAAATAAATGTAAGATAAGTGGAGTTTAGAGGCTGTCTCCTTATGAAGTTGAATAAAATGCTGGTATCCTGAGGCCTCCTCATGTTAAATAAGATGTCTTTTGGGAATTAGGTTTTCATTGTGGGAAAGAATGAGCTTATGGGTAGCAGTGCCCATGAGCTGGATTACTGATAAATACAGTTTGATTTGTCAATAGCTGTGGTTCCTCCAGAGCTGGTAACATCTTTCGATCAGCACTATGCAGAATCTGTGAGGAGTTACAAAAAAATATTGCTTTGAGTATTGTTTTTAGAAAACCTTAAAGGTGAAGTTTTATTTTCCATGTTTCCACTTACTGTTATTAATAAATCATCTTAAAGGCAATTCACAGGCTTTGGATCTGCTCACTGTAATAAAGAAAATGCAGAAATTGTTGAATAGCATAAAACTAAAGTAGGGAAATACATTGAGTATCTTGCCAGAGTTAATTTCATAAGCCCTCAATAATTAGCTATAGACCTCACCTCAATATAAAGTTGGATTGATAACAGACACTTGATTGCCTTTTTTTTTGTTGTTTTTGTTTTACAAGATGTTAATGTTTTTTTCTGCTTTTTTAACACCTGTAGTGGATTGCACTGTATGGAGCGCATCAAGCTACAGCAATAATAAGACTATTGGATGAATGGAATGGGATTGAATCAATACTCCAGACTTGATGCCCTTTTTTCTTTTATCTCCCCTTTTGCTGAGCAAGTTGTATATATTGTTTGTCTCCTGTTGCTAATTATTACTTTTATTCTTAAGAAAGCTCTGCCAGCTGAGCCACTTTTTCCTAAATCAAGACCAATTATGCAAAAAGTAATTTTGGAGTAATTGGTGCTTTTATTTAAGAATAAGGGGTTTTTTGTTGGTTTTTTTTTTTTTTTTTCTTTGTTTGTTTGGGGTTTTTTCCTCCATTCAGTACCTGTATGGTACTGCGGAAAACTACCTTTTAATTTTCTTTTGCTCTTCTTGTAGCTGGTAGCTTGGTATCCTCTTACATACTGTGATTTAATTTCTGTAGTCACATATATGCAAAGTCTTCTTTATGTCATGGGAAAAAATGTCTGTTTCCTGGTCTATCTGTTATCTTCTTGAAGTGGAGGTTAAATTTTTTCAACTCTGCCAACTGGGAGTAAATACTGTAGAAAGTATCTGATAGTAAAACCTATGTTAGAGGCATCATTCATAATGCACATGCAACTGGCTTTTGGCCTAGTCAGTTCTGTTTTTTTTTTTGATACAAAGAAGTAGCTTTTGATCATTTGTTGAACCAACTTGTGTTTGCTTCATACTATTTTTTC